TGAAGGCCTTCTTCGCCGACTCCGTGTCTATCCATTGTTTCCATAGATCGTCGGCGAGTGTGTCGTACAGCCATCCCATAGAAACCTTACCCTGGGTTTCAACTGTTAGGGCGTTGGGAACATACCTGACCATTGGATACAATAAATTAACATTTAATTTGATATAAAACAACTCACATATTGACGGGATGTGGTTCATGATTGCCGAGACAGGGAAACACCGGTGTGTTTGGGAATGCCTTCTTCAGGGCATCAGTCATGGCCTTAATGTGTGCGATATTGTGTTCAACTGATGTCTCCCACACGTCGTGCGGTACGTTATCTCCCGTCCAAATGACGAGATCCACGTCCTTATGATTATCGCCCATATGTTTGATGGAGTCGTCGGCAAAATTGAGCGGACAATCGCAGGACCACATGGTTTGAGACCAATAGCCGGCCGTATGTCTGTCGTCGTGATCTCGCGGAGAGTCTGGTCGACAACAAACGGGTTCACCACACGTCGAGTTAGAGCCCGGAGTATACGATAAATCCAAGTGAATATCAGTCAAGTGAAGCATTTTTAACGGCTTATCGGTTCCACTCTTTGGCGTAAATGGTTTGGNGTATGTCTGTCGTCGTGATCTCGCGGAGAGTCTGGTCGACAACAAACGGGTTCACCACACGTCGAGTTAGAGCCCGGAGTATACGATAAATCCAAGTGAATATCAGTCAAGTGAAGCATTTTTAACGGCTTATCGGTTCCACTCTTTGGCGTAAATGGTTTGGGTTTGGGAAGAGGTAACTCCCAAAGAACCTAGAATATTTTAGTTAATTAATTTGTTATTTACAATCGTGATGGCAATCATTATTAACATTAAATTCTATAAAAAAAAATAGTTGCCATACATTCTTGGTGTAGGGCTGGCCGTAGTGTGTCATACAGTCGGGCGACAATAAAATGGCACACATTTCAGGTATCGTTACTTTTAAATACGTGAAGATGTGTGCGAGCGGTTCGGCCATCAGTTTTAATGTGCCCTCACATACGCGCGAAGAATAGCCGCCAGTCTTAGAGCAGATCGCGTGAGCGAATCCCTGCAAAGTCTTGGGATCTTTCAGTAGTATTGGCCCGAATGCCAGCGATGTATTGCAGTCCATACAGGCCTTCAGGTTGTGGTTATTGCCCTCAATGTCTTTCATCAACTGATTAAACATCTGTTTTTACACCAATTAAATCAAAGTATAAATTAATTGTTATTTAAATGTATAAAATATGATTAGTGAATATTCACAGACCTGTCCCAATTCATCTATATCAAGGTTCACTTCCCGCAGTTCACGCAAAACCTCCGGTGCGATCAACCCATTCAAGTCGTGTCCATAATTTTTTGTACAATTAGTGCCCGAATAGCAAAGAATTGCCAAAACAAGACACAATCCGAAGAGTGGATTCATTTTTGCAAATATAATGAATAACTGCTAGCATTTGATTTCATTGCGAGTCTTTTTATGGATTAATTCTTATCACTAAAAGAATACCAACAAAATTAAGTGATTATTTTGTTAAGATTTTCTGTTTAAAGTTTAGATTGTTTTTGATTAGACAATTACATTTATTAATAATATTCATCAACAGTAAATAAGTTATGTTATACTGTATAATTTATACATTTAAAAATAAATTTATGAATTGTTAACCCTATAAATATTATAAAGAGAGAATGTGCAATATAAGTATGTAAATTAAAGTTAGCAATATATAAGGCGAAATGATCAGTTATGTTTAGGACATTAATACATGATTAGTTCAAAAGAGTACTGTTAATTATTACATGGTCGATCCTTTAAATTAAGCTCATAACTCGAGTCACATGATTACACGATCAGTGTTTTTATCGTCGATTGAGTAAAACATTAATACAAGAATCTGATAAATGGCTTAAACACTCGTATAATAAACAAATTCTTGAAACCAACGGAGGTATGAATATAAGCCATAGTTTTGATATGAATGCAAACTAATAGTAATTCTCGGAAAAAATTATATCAATAAGAGAATCACATAAGAAATTCATAGAAAGCGTATTTAAGCAAAGATTAATAATGATTACATTTTAACATTATTATAAATTACATTTATACTTAAATAAAGTTGAGTACACAGTATAGGAATGCACTAAACAAAATAACTTATTTTTGTTGTCATAATTCCTTATACAGTATTTGTAGTTTTAAAAAAATGTTTTGTAAAAATTATATTTTAAATTACTGTTTAATAAAATTTGATATTAACTTTAACTCGTTATTTGATCTAGCAAATCTTGTATATTGGGTCATTTGAAAACCTATTATACTTTGGTCAATAGCATTATAATTAGTTTTGATGCCGGAATATTTCACAGTACATCAGTCAATATAATGTATTTCTAGGAAGGGGTCCAAGTTTTTGATAAAATTCTAGCTGAACATATCTGTTAATTAATGTATCTATCAATCTAGATATAATAATTTAAATAATTTATCTTTGTATAGAAATATATTAAATAAATAATTTTTAAAACATTTATTCAATGAATATACAGTATTTTAGTTATTGTAATCAATATTCTCTCTCTCTCTCTCTCTCTCTCTCGTAATCAATCAATTTATTTATTTATTTGTAATTATTTGGTAATAATTTATGGAAAGGATTAAGAATTTGCCTAGTTAGTAAAATGTCTCTCATATCATGTCCTAAACATAACTGATCATTTCGCCTTATATATTGCTAACTTTAATTTACATACTTATATTGCACATTCTCTCTCTCTCTCTCTCTCTCTCGTAATCAATCAATTTATTTATTTATTTGTAATTATTTGGTAATAATTTATGGAAAGGATTAAGAATTTGCCTAGTTAGTAAAATGTCTCTCATATCTGTCATATTATAGCGACCTTTTGTTGTCATGTCTTGAATGAAGTCATCACTGAATCTGTGGTAATGATTGACATAACTTCTAACGAGTTTATCGTCACTTTTGGCTCTTGACATAAACAGATCCCACGATTCAGTGGACAGAGAGTCCATTCCATACATCTGTTTCCCAGACGTATCTGAACTCCATTTCGGAGGGTTTTGTTGGCCTTTAATGTTATCTTCGGTTACATTAGTGTAGAAGACATCAAAATCCAAAGGTCTTCCCTATAATTGATAATTCATTTAAAATTAATACATTTTAAAAATAAAAGCTTAAAAATAACATACATTACTATCTATTGTGAATATTCTGTAACCGGGATTAAGCAGTGTATAAGTGGTAAGACTGGCGCCGATATAGCCGTGAGATATGGCATACGTGCCATTGGTTTCAAAGTCTTTGTTATACAAGACAACGATCTCGTCATTGTGTGTGTGACCGAAATATGAGCTCACAATCAAGTGCTGATACCTTTCCATAATTCGGAAGTAGTTATGACTCCACGAGGCGTATAAATCAGAGGGAGGAATATGTCCTAACAGTGCATTACATTCAGTAAATTAATACTAATAATATTTGATTAACTAAAAGTAGGTTTTTAATGATTACCTAATAACATAACATACGAGCCCTCAGTTTCAGCGCTATTGAGCTCATCGATAAGCCACTGGAGCTGTCCGTCCGGATCGATGGGATCGTAAGCGATGTAATAGTTTTCATTCTGAGCCATATTTGTATTCATTACAACCACTTTCAATGTATCGCTGAATTTCTTTGAATAATAGCCGCCCTTTTTGAACGTCTTCTTCGCCTCTTCGGTGTCTATCCATTGTTTCCAGTAATCGTCGGCGAGAGTGTCGTAAAGCCATTTCATAGACAGCTTTCCCTGTGTTTTAATTGATAGTTCTTCGGGAACATACCTAACCATAAATGCAATTAACGTTAATGAAGTGCAAAAGTCAATTGAAACCTATTTACAAGTTAATGGGATGCGACTCATGATTGCCCAAACAGGGAAACACCGGTAAATTGCCAAATGTTTTCTTAAACGTATCAGTCATGGCTCGGATGTGCTGTAGATTGACTTCTCTGGTGGTGTTCCAGACATCGTGTGGTATATTATCTCCCGTCCAAATCACTAGATCTATGTCCTTATGATTGTCACCGATTTGTTTGATTGAGTTGTCAACAAAATATTGCGGACAATCGCAGTTGTCTTTGGTTTGAGACCAATAGCCGGCCGTATGGTTATCCCCGGGAGATGTGGATCGACAGCAGACAAATTCACCACACGAAGAGTTAGAGCCCGGAGTATACCATAAATCCAAGTGAATGTCAGTCAAGTGAAGCATTTTTAGCTGTTTATCGTTTACAGCTTTTGGTGTAAATTGTTTGCGTTTAGGCAGAGGTAACTCCCATTTGATCTGCAAATAAAAATAAATGTAATCACAAATCAATAAATAATTTAGTTATTCATTAAACGAACTCATTATACATGTGTTTAAATGTATAATAAGATATTATAATTACATTGTGAGTGAAGGGGAGACCAAACAAAGTGATACAGTCGGGCGACAAGAAAGTGCCGCATATTTCAGGTGTTGTGAGTTTTGTGTGTTGGAAGAGATATGCCAGGGGTTCGGACATACGCTCGAGCAATCCCTCGCAGACACGGATCGTTTGTCCGACAACTTTCTTACACATGATTGGAGCCAACGATTTGATCAGATCTGGCGATTGTATGAGAAGTCGACTGTATGTGATGGTAGTGTTGCAGCGCTCGCACGCCTGCCTGTCGTGTATATTGAACTCGACGTTTTCAAACATCTCGAAAAACATCTGATCCAGCGATATATTAAAGTACATATTTATTAGATAATTGTTTTATTATGATAATTTTTGTTTATAACAAACCTCTCCCAATTCATCGATGGTTATTGTGGCCTCTATTTCGGCGATCATAGCATTCAAGTCATGTTCAGAAGTTTCATAAGAATAAGCGCCAGAAGTGCACAAAATGGCCAAAATTAGGCCCAATTTGATGAGTGAATTCATGTTTGCCATCAGTTGCCGCACAACTGCTAACGTTAGCAGAGATGACATTTAGTGACTTTTTATACATTAAATTTTATCGCAAAAATCGGTTAAAATATCTTATTATCTCATTCACAGTCTTATTGTCTGTTAGTTTCACAGATATTTATGGATTAAATGTGAGGCGAGAGTGTACCAAGGTGAACTTCGTATGTCAAGTCTAGGTATTGAAGATTGAGTCCATTCAAATGCATATCTGTTCCACTTTTGTCTATGCATTGATTGGAAAATTATTTAACATTTATTGTAAATATTTTTTTGTTTAATTAACTAATATAACTAATATTATATTTGATACAGTATTATACAGTTACAGTATATTCAATTGCCAATTATGTTAATTAAAATTATATTTGTCATTAGTAATTACTATTGCCCAAATGCATTGTTAATATGCCATGCTATTGTAACTTTTTACTGCTTTATAAAAGTTTTCTTTTTTCTAAAGTTTGAATTTTAGAATTAAAAAATCAAATCTTAAATCAGTTTGTGGTTAATAATCACATCCATAAACTATTGGTTTAAATGCAATTAGTTTGTCATTAATAATTATTATTGCAAACGAAATGTTTAATAATAAAATGTTGCCTAAACTTTAAATACTGTGCTCTTGTGGTTCAGACCAAGAGTAGCACTATTGTATAATCTAGCTGCTAGATTCTAGCACAATTATTTTTTTTGAAAGTATGCAAATAAATTTATAAAAATATAAGCTCAAATGATGCAAAATATAATTAAACAACAATTGTCTCATTTAATAACATGTGATTTAATCGACATATCCTTTAATTCTTATCAAAAGATGTTTTTATAAAATCCCTGTTTTGTTAGTACTGTTGCACATTAGACCACAGTTTCAATAATAGGCTTAACGTTAAACATTTATTTCACTGTAATGTATATGTCGTAAGGTTTACAAAACAACACAAATTCCTCACAACAATCGGAATCTATAATAATTATTCAATATTTTCAGTGCTATTGATATTTAAGTGTAGAATATTATCATTTATCAAATTTTTATTACAAAAATTTAATATAAATTCACTTAAATCTACTTTAATAACAAAAACAAGTCTTGCAATATAAATTTACAGAGATTGTTTTTGATAAATATTGTTTATCACTTATATTATTTAAAAATAAATTAAATATATTTAATTTTGCAATAAATATTAATTGAGTCGTGATTCAAATTCAACAACTTTTAATGTTTATAAAAGCATTTTTATTTCACAGAATAAACCAATGAATTAAAAGCTTAAAGAGTTATAAACTTAATGTTTGCTATTATTTAAAATTTATTCGTAGGCTTTAACACAAATTGGACTTTAATTATAATTTATATTGTGTGCAAATTATATTTATTCACAAATATGCAGATTTAAAAGTATGCAGAATTCCTTTTAAAAATAATTTATTAATAAATAAAATTATTTTGTAAAACAAATAACAATAAATATTATAAATTTACAGCAACTGCAAAATATAATAAAAATTATTTAACGATAAAACAATAATTATGAATAATGTATAATTTATAATTTGGATATGAATATAATTTGAATTCTAGTTTAAAACTAGATTAAACTGTAAGTGTAAACTAAAGCACAATTATTTTGGACTTATTTTTACAAACAAGTGAAAACACTTTTTCAAATAATAAATAATTGTTTTAAAATTGACAACAAATGGGGAAATCAATACATTTTTATTAAAACTCCAGAAACGGTATATTTTTTAAAATACCAAAAATTCGTATCAATAGTAAAGAAATTTTTTTTATAATTGTATAAAATTATTTAATAAATTACCAAAACTTATACGAAATGAAAATAATTATAACATTGTTAAAAGTAAAATTGTTAAATGACTTTTTGTAATACTTTGTATTGCGTTTAAAACAAATTCTTGAATAAAAATTATTATTATTATAAAATATTCTGTTGTAACAAACTTATATTTTGCAATTATATTACTAGAAACATCTACACACAATATTACATGGACCAGCATATATGATTAGCACTTGAGAAATATTGTCTGTGGGTAAAAAATATGTCACTCACAGTGAATTTGTGCGACAATTCAGTGTCTAAGCAAACAAAAAATTGTCACAACAAATGATTTGACACATAATTGGTTTCAAAAATATGTTTAAAAAAGTTTTTCGTTGTCAATGAAGAAAAACTATATTGTATTTGAAATAATGAAGAAATAAAATCTTGCACTATTTTTATCTCCCAGTGATAATAAAGTAGAGGCAGAGTTGACAGTATCAGTGATTTTTTTATACTAAACCTCTAAATAAACAGTACAGAATAGTGTAGGAACTGATGGCTCACAACAAGTTTAATACCAGATATTATATATTAAATTTTCATATGAATGGCAACTTTTGGTCATTTATATTCAATTTTTGTTATTTTTCTCTCTTTCTATCCTTTTCTTCTTTTGACAAATTCTTTAAGCGTTTTTCTATTTTATTTCGCAGACAGTCTTCATGTGTGCAATACTTTAGTCGCTATTATAATACAAATCACATCACATCTGCTGTCATATGAATTCAATGCATTTCAAATTCAATGGTTATAAAACTTTTATCAATGTTTAAGTTTTGTATAAATAGACGTTTTTTGGTCACAAAATTGGCTTTTTGTGTTGCATTTGCATCAATGCGTGCAATAATCAAATGTTTTGTATAACAATATTTACATATTATTTTGGGTTTCCTATGAAATCCGACTTTAATTTATTAATTTAGTCAACGAATAAATTAACGCGTGTTTAGAAATATATTACTTTCATATTATGCAGAATATTCTGGTCGTATTTGAAATATTTATGTGATAAACACATACAATATGTATTTTATATTAAATATTTACAAAGTTCATTGCATTTTAATAATGTAGAGTTAACTCGTAAAATATCTGTTGCTTTGTAATTAAAAATATATACAATTTTATGCCAGAGTTATACCGTGTAAAATTATGTTATTATTTAAGCCATTAATTATAAAACGAGTAAATATTTATCCCATTTATTATATTTAATAACAAATTATTATATTTTACAATATGTAATAATAACCACTGTTTGAATAGTATGAGTGTTATTACAACCAAGTATTTTATGAAAACGTATTATAAATCTGGAAAAACATTTCTCAGGTTTTGTTTTATGAAAAGTTTTGAAATATACTGTTCTTACATATTAAAGTATTTAACATATAAAATAAATTTATAAAAGTATGATATATTGCATATTGTCAGGAAAAACTAATTAGTGTAATTAAACACTAGTTACTGTAAACCTTAATTACAGTTAAGAACCAATATTAATACCTAATTGACATGTGACTCTACTCTATATATTTTTCGCGCCAATACTTTATTCAAATACATATGTACTATTCATATACTCTATTATACTCGCATTTATATTGTAAACATGTATGAATATACCCATATATTAACTTACGATATCGGTAATCTGGCCAGAATCGGTAACTCCGAGGACGGACGGACACCAATCATACATCATTATAATCA